TTATTTCCTCCTGCTCTTTTTCCAGTCATTTCCCCGGCTGCGTGTCCCTGCCCCCACTGAAATAGGATGGCGCCGGCTTCGCAGTTCCATCCTTGTGTTTCAGAGAATGTTGGCTCCTTGCCTCTTAAAAATGAGCTCACTATCAGATATAGGAATCGTAAAATCCAGGTAGTATGTGCAACTTGTTTTGATTCCAGTCTGGACAAATCAGTTGCAGGCCATCGGGAAGGGTGACTGTGGACTGGGTTTGGGTGGCGGTGAGGACCGGCCGTTCGCTGGCCAGTGGGGTGTGCTGTTAAGAAGATGCCCCGAGTCTCCGCTTCGGAGTCCTGCATGAGCAAGATGACATGAAGCCTGTGGTTTGCTTTAAAAGTATTTCAGTGGGGGTGGGGAGGAAGGGGGGCCCGTGGATGATGGTGGAGGGTTTTGGGGTTTTGGGTGCTTTGGTGGTAGGTGGGGTAACATTTGTAGGTGTGAACCTGTACCCCTAAAGTATATACAGTGATGTAAACCATGGCTACCTCAATAAACATAGAAAATTAAAATTCTTTACAAATAGTTTAACTTAGGAAAAAACAGTGCAGCCATTAGTTGAAGGTCGGGACATGGGTAGGAAGGTTTATTTCATGCATGCTCGAAAACTTTCAAAGTGAAGATTAAAACACTGAAGTCGGATTGCTTTGAAGGAGAGTGATCAAAAGCAGCAGCCTGCTGTCCCTCTGTCCCTCTCTGCACCTCCCCAAGCAAGACCACCTTCGTCTCCTTTAAACAGATTATTTTCGTATTTTCACGTCCCTATGTGGCTTGCCTGATTGCTATCCCTGATTTTTCAGGGATTTTATCCACAAAGTTTTCACTCTAGAAGAAGAGAATTTATTTTTCTTTCTACTTCCATACCCTCCCCGCCACCAAACCCACATAACTGTTCCAGGCCCTCATCCTCCCAATAAAGTCGCATCAGAACCATCAGGATTAACTATTGTGGTTATGCAAATACTCAGCGCTCCTTTCCTTCCCAACACAACGTTTTATTTTCACTGGAATTAATAACTGTCTTGTAATCTGGCTCCTTTTTTGTATACTACGTGCATTAATCTACCTCAAACTTTCCACGGACTGTTGAAAACAGTGATTCTCAAGAATGGTCTGTGCCCTGGGGGGAAGGCGGGGTCCCTGTTCTGCTGACCAACATAAAGGCCAGAATTTTCTAAATGACCAATCAATACACAATGTTGAAAAATCAGGTGAGGATAAAAGATCTGTTCAAAGTGTAAAACAGACCCACGGACTTTAATGCAAGAAGCTCAGCTGACACTGTACTGCCCCGCCAGGGCGGCCCTCACCACACACTGGTGGGGCTTGGATGACTGACAACTGTTTCTCAGTTCTGGAAGCGAAAGAGTCCTTGCCGAGCCTCCCTTCCAGGCTGGCACACGGCCACCGTCTCTCTGTGTCCTCGTGGAACGGGCCAAGGGCAGGCTCTCTTCTAAGAACCTGGAATCTACCTGGTCAGGACCCTACCCTGGGCCTCATTTAACTTGAATTATCTCCGGATAGAGAAACCGCCCAACACAGAGACGCGAGGAGTCAGGGCATCAACGTAGCAGACTCAGACACACAGCTCCGCCGCGGCAGACATGGCTTCGTGCTCCAGATCACAGTGCGCGGTTAAGAAGCTACTGGTGGTGCAGGATTTAAAGTTTTCAGCACCATCAAGCTGTCCACAGCCACTCTGGCATGAGTTTGATCCCCGGCCAGGGAGTGACCCACAGGGCGCGGCAGACCTCTGCTGTCTGCTTCTGCTCCCCTCAGCAGTGGATTTCAGTAGATCTGCCTGTTCTGCTCCCCACTCTAGTGAATCCTCTCAGCCCCACACACCTTTGGCCTACACCCCAGCTCTTGTACGCATAAATAAATCTTAAAAAAAGAAGAACTACTAGTCAAACTTCGGTGCAATACAAAGATGAGTATCTGTAAGTTCTGAAAAGGCTATTAAAACATTCCTTTCCTTTCCAACTACATATCTGTCTGAGGCGAGATCTTGCTCGCACCCTTCAATCTGAACAACTTGAACTTGTTGAATTCCAGCAAATTTGAATATAGGAACAAATATGACATCCAGCTCAATGTCTTCTTTAACATACACATGAAAGAGATCTATGAAAATGGAAATAAACTTTTCTCCTGATTCTTATGTTTTAGCAGTTCTATTCCCTAACATTTGATAGTATGCTGTCATTTTAATTGAAACGGATAAATACTTTAATTTCAATTTCTAACAGGACAAGTGGTGGTAATCACACAGACAAGAGACCTTTGAGACCTTAGATAATTTTTTAGTATAACAGACCCCAAGACCAAAAAGTTCGGTAACTGCTGATCTAAATACTTTTCCAAGAAATTCTCAGCTCTCTCTCTCCCACGGGCTCCCGCCCCACTAGCTGTCTTCTCACTCGGGTGGAGTTGGTACCTGGGAAACTCCACCACCTCACCCAGTGAGGAGTCAGCCGGGCGGCCTGTGGGCCGAACTCCAGCCTGCCACCCCGAACACCCTGCACCTCCCTTTCTGTGCTGTTGATGTTGACTTCCCTGCCACAACGGGGCATCTGTCACCAAGATGGCATGGCCCGACACGCACCGCCTGGTCTTCGACAAGAACAGTTCGAGGCTCTTCCACGGCTTGCCTGTTTGTTTCCTGTTTGTTTCCTGAACCCCAAGCCTCTGTTGACTCACTGATTCCTCTTTCTTGAGATGCTCCTTCATGCTGGGAAACCCGATCTGTGGGTAGCTTCCTCAGAAAGGGTAGATGAGAGGCACTTTTTTGTTAAGACTTCATTTGAAAACATCTTTCTACACTTGCATTGTCTTGTAGCTTAGCTGGATATGAAACTTCAGCATGGCAATCATAGTCTTGCAGAAATCAGGAAGTTCTGTTTCACTATCCTCTAGCTTCTAGGGCTGAGATAAAAACACCTTAAGTTATTCTGAATTGTGGTCTAATGTAACTGACATTTTTTTTATCTTCTAAGAGTAAGTCAAGAAAGACCCGAGATTCAGGAAAAAAACAAACCAACACAACACAGGAAAGGCTGGAATTTTATGACGGCGTGGCTCGGAGACAATACCTTCAGCAGGCCAGGGGTCTCTTCCAGTCTAGACAGTCAGACCTTGCGGCCGCTGGGCATCTCCTTCATTTACTTTGACTGTCATTTCTCCCCCTCTGTTTTCTCCATTTCTGCATGTGTGTGGAATAGATGTTGGAATAGATCTAGGACTGAGCTGCTAATTTTCTTTTTCTTCCATTTTATCTTCCAACCAGAATCTCGAGTTTTCATTGATGTCTTCTATCATGTTTTTAATTTCCAAGAATTCCTCTCCCCCCCCCCCATGTTCCCCTTTTAAGGTCCGTATGTCTTGTAATATAGGAACTACTTCCTTCAAGGAAATTTCTCTAAGGACATAATGACAGTCTCTTTTCTCCCTCTATGGTCTATTTTAGTTTTCAATTTCATGTTAGAGGCTTTCATATGTATAGTTGCTTCACATATGGAGGTGAAATGCAAAAAGGCTGATTTTAGTGAAATCGTAAAATGCTCTGATGGTGTGGGAGCTTACTGACGGTGGGGAGATACAGCTGGACTGCTGGTTGGGAAACCCTTGAGGTTATTATCTTCAAGTCTTTATTCTTCACCACCCAGAGTCATCAGAGAAAGATTTTCCCATCTCCTGATTCAAGAGTATAGGCGTGGCTTCCAGAACCCTGGGGCCAGTTGGAAAAGAAAGCTGGAGTCCGGCCGCGGCTATGCAGCACTCAGCCTTGCCCAGGGCACCACCATCCATGCCCCGTGCCTCCTCGCTCACACGTCCTGCACTGCACCGTGTCCAGAGCACACGGTTGTGCCCTTCTTCCCCATCCCAGGAGGGCGCCTTTTAAAACGAGCGCCCACCAAGCCTATGGGTAGCCTTGTCTCCGCTCACCTCTCCCCCATCTTACAGAGTTACTGGTGCTGTCGATTTCTGAGGCTTCTTCAGGGTTCTGCTGTGTAAACTGGGTTGTTTCTTGGCCTTTCCTATTGCTGGCTCAGGATTTAGCTTTCTCAGGACTGCTAAGTCAGTCACCACTCATCCATCTGCTTCGCAGCTTCCAAAGTTCTGTTGCTGTTGTCTCCTCGCCCATTCTCTTTGTTCTTGTGGGTTTATGTCTTAAAAAAAAAATCTCTTCACTGTTGGTTTAGTGAGGTTTTGGGAAGGAATGAAAGCAAATGTGGGTATTTGATCCTCCATCTTACTTGAAACCTCTTTATAATTAAATATCTTTTTTTCAAACTTCCATTTAATATTACAACATAAACATTTCCCCTGTTCTTACAGGGTCTTTGTAACAGCTCTAGTAACAGCATAGCGTTTAGCAACAGTTTCGCTAATAGCGTCCCATCCCCTAAAGGGGCACCACAGCTTCCTTCATCATTGTCTAGAAATGTTTCTGCTTTGCGGAGGAGAAGGGAGTCACCTTTTATTGATCTGTATCATTGGCTCCCTGTATTTAGGGGAAGCCCGCTGACATTCTTTCCCCTATCATTCTTGGCCCATGATTTCATCACCATGTCCCTTGATGATGGCACTTCCTTGCTAACTAAATTCACCTTCAAGCTGCCAGGTCACCTTGCACAATGACACATCCGAGTCTTTCCCGGACTCTCTCACCTGGTCCTCAAAGTCCTCCTTCGCAGGAGGCCTGCTCTCCCGAATGAAGCCCAGGCAGCTCCTGCCTTCGCCTGTCCACCCACAGCTTCATTTACACCTCTTTATTTACACGTACCCCCCCCATACCCTTCTTTCACGTGAGTTCTCCCTTCACTAAGATTGCTTAGGGGCAGTCTTGCCTTCTAAATGAAAGGGACAGTTGTTTAGAGGAGGTGCTGGGGCTGCTGACATTCCCCAACTCCCACCCCATCACCAGGGACTCAGTGCGTGGAAAGAACACACATGCAGACTGTTACCTTGCCTTCTGGAGTGAGTGTCCAGATCACAGAGAAGGTCAGCTTATCGGTCATGGGGTTGAGGCTGCACAGCTCCTCACACAGCAGCCTGGGAAGCATGGGGATCACCTGCAAGCAGAAATTAGGTCATGAGAAGCTTTCTCCATTCCTCAGGTACCTGGGAACAGCCCAGAGGGTAGAGCTGTGATGAACGGCCTGGTTCTCCAGAGAAAGCATGGATGGAAGCAGCAATTTTCAAAGACTGCAGAGAAACCCCTGCCACCTGAGCTTTCCTGCGAGCCTCTAGAGCCAAAGGAGAAGTGAACTTAAAAGGTGGAAGTAACTGGCAACCCAGAGAAATAAACACTGCAACAATGAAAAATTACTGCAGTTTTTACAGGTTCAAGAAGATTTGTGTTCTTGGTCAGTACTTCCAGTTGCATTATAATCTTAAGAACCCAATGTCTTTTATTTAAGCCCTTAATTCATTTCAAGTTAATTTTTGTGTGTGGCGTAAGACAGGGGTTCAATTTCATTATTTTGCATGTAGAAATATAGTTTTCTCAATATTGTTGATTGAAGAGACAATCCTTTCTCACGGTGTGTTCTTAGCATATGTGTCAAAGAGTAACTGACCATAAACGGTGATGTAAACTAATGTCACATCAGTTAAAAAACAAACAAACAAAACTGAGTAGTTCATCATGTACACATGGGTTTATTTCCAGGCCTTCTAGTCTGTTCTATTGGTCTGTCCTATGCTAGTAAAATACTGTTTTGATTACTATAGTTTTGTACTATCATTTACAATCAGGAAATATGATGTTCTCAGGTGTGTTTTAAAATTGCTTTGGCTATTTGGAGTTCTTTGTGGTTTCATATGAATTTTCAGGATAGTGTTTTTCTATTTCTGTGAAAAAATGCCATCAGAATTTTAATAGGGACTGCATTGTAGATCACTTTAGGTAGCATGTTCTTTTAAACAATATTAATTCTTCCAATTCAAAAACACAGACTGTTTTTCCATTTAGTTGTTAATTGCTTTCATCGGTGTTTTAACGTTTTCAGTACAGGTCGTTCAACTCTTTGGTTAAATTTATCACTAAATATTGTATTGCTTTTTGACACTATTATAAATGGGATTGCTTTCTTTATTCCCATATCACCTCATACTTCTTAGGAGGGCTATGATGAAAAAGATAAATAATGACAAATGTTGGCTAGGACAGGGAGAAAGATAACCATTGTGCATCACTGATGGGAAAGGAAATTGCAATAGCCAATAGTAACAAGGGGTGGGGAGAAGTAGACCAGTTATTAGATGGATAAGTCCCACGACCTAGAGAAGGGCATGGCAGTTAGCGTGGTACTGTATACTTGAATTTGCTGTGTGAAATGACTAAGCACACACACCCCTCACACAAAAGAACAACTAATGTCTCAGATGAGGGATGTTTGATTATCTTGATCTTGACAATCATTTCACCCGTCCATGTACACCAAATCACCACATCATTCACTCTGCATATATATAGTTACATGTGTCAATGACTCCTCAATAAAACTGGGAGAATAAAAGAACCCAAGGGTTAAGTGTAAACTTGTGACAGGGCTTCATCTAAGTAAAACTTCTTGATCAGTATGTTAGTCATTGAAAATACCACAGTTTACCAAATCATATGTTGGAGCATAATACAAAACTCCAATATCACTGCAGCAACAGAATGGAAAGGTTGCCAAATTTAAGTTCTCTAGATGAATAATGTAGTCAACGAGTCACCAACTCTGTATTTTTTTAAAGATTTATTTATTTATGCATACAGAACTGGGGTATAGGCCAGAGGTGCAGGGGCAGTGAGAGGATTCACAGAGACAGAGTGGGCAGCAGAACAGACTGACTGATAAAGTACACTGCTGAGGGGAGTGGGCGGGTCAGGAGAGGTCTGCCACGCCATGTGGTCACCTCCGAGGCTGGGATCGAATTCATGCTGAAGTGGCTTTAGCTTCTTAGTGCTGTGCTTTAACCTGCTGCGCCACCACGGAGGGCCCACTCTGTAGTTTTTTCAAGCCTAAATTATTTCTTTCCCATAATATCTAGATTCAATGGTATATGCTCTTTATTAAAAAAAAAAAAAGTCTTCTAAGATGATGACTCAGTTATCACAGAATATCACTTGTTTTCCCCAAGATTCCAAAGAATTCCAGGTGTTTATCTCTACCTGGATCACCTGAAGACACTTTAACTTCTCTCCTTCCTACCTTTCAATCTGTTCCTCTTCCATAATTTTCTTGATTAACGGTAACACCATTCACTCCACCTCCCAAACTAAAATCACCAGCGTCAACTCTCAACACCTCTACCATGGACCTGCTTGGTTTGCAGTGATGTCACTGAGAAGTAGGTGAAAAGGTCAAATACCCACCCGCTGAGGTAAAGTTGGCTAGTTCAGCGTCTTTATCAACAAAGGCAAACCACACCCCAGTGGTCTTCATCCATGTGAAGTATCTACACCTGTACCCTTTTCAGTACAGAACATGACCTTTGACATCCAGAAGTAAATTCTAGAATATGTGGGCCAGACAACTAACAATATTGTAGTGCACTGCTTGGCATTATTCTGAAGGATGTAGCATTTTAAATGCCTACGTAAAATTTAATGACCACAGGGAAACTTCTAATAATAGTGTCTTAAAAAAATCACTTTGGGGGGGGGTCCCTCCCTGGTGGTGCAACAGGTTAAAGCTCAGTACTGCAAGTTCGATCCCCAGCCAGGGAGTGACCCCCAGGGCATAGCAGACCACTCCTGTCTCACCCGCTGCTCCCCTCAGCAGTGTGCTTCGTAGCTCTGCCTGTTCTGCTCCCCACTCCGCCTCTGGTGAATCCTCTCACCGCCCCTGTGCCTCTGGCCAGTACTCCAGTTCCGTGTGCAGAAATAAATACATCTTCAAAAAAAAAATCACTTTGAGAATGTGTTTCTTGCCATAACTTTTAGATGAAACTATTATTTCTACTAACTTATTCAATTAGTAAAGTATGAAAACATTATTTTACCGTTTCCTTGCATAGTCAAGTGTTTTACAAAACAAAAACAAAACCCACATCACCGCCTGCATAAACATACTGTACAAAATGGAGACGCTTCCATAAAATAGCCACACTGTCCTGTGGCTGAATGTGGAAATGTCACATAATTTCAGCCTTTAGACTCTGCTATGGGCTGAACTGTGCCCATCCCCCAAGTTGAAGCTTTAATTCTGGAAGTGGTTGTACTTGGGGGTGGGGTCTTTAGGAGGCAATTTAGGTTAAATGAGGTAGTAAGGGTGGGGCCTGCTCTATATAGTGAGACCTCTCGCCACCCTGCACAGGGGGTGGGGGTGGCACTTGAGGACACCGACACCTACGAGCAGAAGCATCTCTGCTGGACACCAGTCGGCAGGCATCTTGATCTGGGACTCGCAGGCAGCAGGAGTGTGAGAATAAACTCTGCTAGCCCACCCAGTCCATGGTATTCTGCTGAATTTGTTGGGTGTGCGTCCTTGGAGTCTCTTCTGGGCTCTACTGTCCGGGTAACCATGACTACTCTGGAAGCAGGGCGCTCAAGCTCAAGCACAGCCCTGGTTTCATACCTTGTTCACAGGTAGTTAGCACGTTTTTCTAAATGTTCAAGGTAGCATCATCTTACTTTGAATCACAAAGCTGAGCATCTGAGAATGAACAATCTCCCGACTTCAGTTTTCCATGTTTGTCAAAAGAAAGTCATTCCTTAGAACAGAAAGACGACACTGGGAAAATGGGTGAAATAAGAAAAAGAGTATAGAGCTTAGCCACGAGCACTGTTCCAGTGGCAGCTTCTTGGTGACCACAAACGTGCCCAGGTAACGCCAGATGTTAACAACGGGGGTGCGGGGGATCCGGGGTTTTGTATTAGCGGTGCAGCTTTCCTAGAAATCTGATATTATTCTAATATAAGGAATTTTTTTTT